ATACCTGTACATGTATATAATATTTCACTTCTATATTTACACACCTTTATACACAGTTCTATATATATATATTTATATATTGTTTTTTGGCTTAATTAATTTCATTCTTGTTTTGCAGCCATTTGTACCAATTGTTCCAAATTCCATAATATCCCGACTCTTCTTTATCTTTTAATTTCAGAGTTAATTTGTCCATCTCTGCACAATCCAAAGTTTTTTTAATCACTAATTCGTCCGAGAGGGTATTATTTTGTTTCCAGCATTTCCAGCAAGCCCAAATTTTCAAAAGCCTGGTGGCATAAGAGATTCTATGGTGAGCAGAGGAGTGGAGGACTCATCTTGGATGAGAAGCGAAATGTCTTCAGAGAAAAAACCAGTTGCTTCTTGGGGGGGGAAATGCATCTTTGGGACAACCCTGAGCATGGATGACGGAGAATCTCCGTAGACTAAAAAGCTGGACTTATCTCCTCTTTGCTCTGCTTCACAAGTCATTGCAAGATTCGGCTTGTTCCATCAGAGGTTTCCTGGGCGTGGATGATACAAGCAAGCTTTGAGGAGGGGAGAAAAAATACTTCCTGCCTTCACAAATCTCCTTAAAAGGAAATCCAGGAGCCAGAGAGAAGCTGCCTCAGCCACCACCAAGTGACCTTCAATCAGGTGACGGTGAAAAGGAGGGGAAAAATAAATAAATAAGAGAAACACCTTTTTTTTGGTTTCAAGGTTGTTTTTATTAGAAGAAGGGAAGGAACTATAGATGTGGAGCACAGCAAGATTACATTATTATGCACAAAAACGGATTCCCCCACCGTGGGCGAAGGGCTGCAAACCTGGATGGAGTTAGCAGAAATGGTTAAATGGACTGTTTTGCTCGAAGGGGGAAACAAATAGAAATATTTTTCTTATTTCTACTTGGAAACCATTCCTGGACTTTGTGCTTGAGGTGGGAGAAAAACGAAAGTTTCATTTTGGGGTTTTCAAACCGGTTAGATAGATCTGTTGTTATAGAAAAATGGCTAATTTATACTATTATGTAAAAATAAAAAGTTGAGGTTTGGAGCTGTTATCTTATTCTATTGCACCAACGGGAGTCGAAAGTCCATGCCTTTTCTTTCTTTTTTCCTAACACTTTTCCATTCCCTTCTTCCTCCCCTGTTCTCCTTCTGTTTTCTTTTGCAGTTTTGCATTTTATATTATAAAATGATTTTAAAAACAAAAAAACAATGGAAAGAGAATGGGCTGCTTTGTCCTTCCCACTAACAGCAACGAGTGGGATGCTTTGCTCCATATCTGGCCAGAGAATATTCTGCATTCATTTTTCTTTTAAATAACAATCGTTATTGAATAATTCAATTATATTTCCTAATTATATTCCAAAATCAACAGGGCTGATTTGGATTAAAGCATACCTCTGAGATTAGGGTACAGAGATTCTTTAGTTTGTTTTAGTGGCTGTTCAAAGTTACAACGGCACTGAAAACAAGTGACTTATGACCATTTTTCACAGTTACGACCGTAGCAGCATTCCGCACGGTGACATGATCAAAATTCAGACACTGGGCAACTGGCTCGTATTTATAATGGTTGCGGTGTCCCCGGGGTCACATGATCCCCTTTTGCGAGATTCCCGACCAGCAAAGTCAACGGGGAAGCCAGATTCGTTTACTGACTGTGTGACGAACTTAACAAGGGCAGTGATTCACTTAACAACTGTGGCAAGTAAGTTGCCAAATTGCCAACTTAGCAATTGTAAGACTTGTGGACTTTAACTCCCAGAATTCCCCAGCCAGCCATGCCTGTGGACTTCATGCTGGCTGGGGAATTCTGGGAGTTGAAATCCATAAGTCTTAGGTAAAGGTAAAGGATCCCCTCACACATATGTGCTAGTCGTTCCCGACTCTAGGGGGCGGTGCTCATCTCCGTTTCAAAGCNCGCTCTTCTTTTATTTCTTCTGGGAGGGGCCATTCAACAACCAACCACCGGCTGAGTTCATATGAGAACCTAAGCCATAAACCCTAGTTTCACGCATCACGGCGGTTAGATTTACGATGATGACACCAGTTACATGATTACACCAATTATGCCAATTGGTGTCAATTGACACAAATGATATTTAATTGCATCATTTGGATTTAAGGGACCGTTGGATTTTAGGGACCGTTGGATTTAACAGACATTGACTTACTCCAATGTGGTGTATACAATTGAGCTATTTATTTTTCATCCTAGCCTGTTTTTGACGTGTTTCTTTTCTGCTGGCACCATCATTGTGTAGTCTTAATCCCTTCTTAATATGGAATATTTTTCAGCGAGAGATTGCGGATTCATATGCCCAAAATGCCAAAGTGATCGAGAAGCAGCTGGAAAGGAAAGGCATGAGCAAGAGAAGACTGCAAGAACTGGTGAATATCTATTTTTCATCCTCTCGTTCCTGCACTTCCTGTACAGGTTTGAGGCAACAACGTTCCAGAGATTCTGGTGGGAACAGACACACGTTCTCTCTAAATAACATGCCTTGAAATACTTGGAGATCTGAGGACGTTGGTCTTGCTGTATGCTATGAAAAGTGTGTGTAGCAAAGCAGTAGCCATTGATCAGAAAGAACCAACGTATTGTAGCTGGATGACCTGGCTAGTTGTTCTGTATATATAAAAATGGCTCTGTAGGTGTGTGTATGTTTCAGCATAACTCTGGAGTGCCTCGAGCAGTTTCAACCACACTTGGTACACAGATGACTTACTCCCTGAAAAAAAAAATACTGTGGGGCTAAGACCCCCCCGGGGTGTGTGTTCTGTTAGGATACAGCCTGTTGTGCTTTAAGATGGCTTCTACTGTGCTACCGTAAAATGGATTCTACTGTACAGCACAGTGGAGTTGCCATAGTCACGGCTTCACAGTACTCCACAAGGGGGCTCCTTCTGGTAAGGGGAAAAATCAAACATTAATAATTACGTTTGGTCCGGACATTTCCCCCCTATAAATAAATACCCGGACAATTATGAGCTAGTCGTTAATAAAAGAGTTTATGGAAATTCTCAACCATCCAGGTCATGGTTGTCCCAAAGGTGTTTTTTTTTCAAGAGGCAACTGGACTTTCTTGGGTTTTTTTCTTTGAAGACATTTCACTTCTCATCCAAGAAGCTTCAGCTCTGAATGGAAGGGGAGGAATGGAAGGATTTATACTCCTTGCAAACAGCTTGGTCATTTGCATCCTTTTAGAGGGTCTTTGAGGCCACTTGGAAGTTTATCTCTGTCCTCAGGGTCACCTGAGTGGTGCAAATGGTTCCCCGCAGTCTGCAGATTTTTCATCTGGAAAGCCATTCCCATACCATTCAAAGGGTGTTCATCCCAAATTGTATAGCTAAAAGTCTGCGGAGATTGTCAGTCATCCAGGTCATGATTGCCTCAAAGGTGCTCTAACTGGATGGTGGGAAATGGAAGGATTGATACTCCTTGCAGACAGCTGGTCTTTTCCATCCTTTTAGAGGATCCTTGAAGCACTTGGAGGTTTATCTCTGTCCTCAGGGGTCACCTGAATGCTGCAAATGGGTGTGGAACCTTCTTGGAACAGTTGAAAGGACTGTGTTGTAAACCGGAGAAAGACGATGTCGTATCCCTCACCCTCTGTCGAGAGAGAAGTGTTAGTAAGACTTAATTCTTTAATGCTTCCTTTTCTGTTTTGTTTTTTTTTAATTTGACCAGGCCGAGCTGGAAGCCAAGAAGGCCAAAATGAAAGGGACACTCATCGACAATCAGTTCAAGTAAGACGTTTCTTCAAAAGAAGAGAAGCAAACCGACACATTTTTTTGGGGTTCCTTTCTGGTTCATCCCAAGTAATTTGGCCGCATTTATGAAAATGGCAGTGAATGGTGGCAACCTGGCAAATCAAAAACAAGTCTGTTTCTATTGTGGTTTATTTCTAATGTGTTGCCTGCAGCCTGGGCGATTTTAATTTCATTTGAGGCTTTCTTTTTCGAGGTTCTGTGAAGTCTCTTCCTGTAATTTGCTGTATATTCTGTTTTGCAAAATGTTGTGAAACCTGTTAGGAGAACTGCAGAGTTTTTTTCTGTTGTTTTTAGTTGTTTGTATATTTTCAGATGTACATAGAATCCTGGTGAGACAGAAACCAGCAAAAATAATAAACATTTGGAAAACAATTAGTTTCATGCGACTGTCATTTCTTTGTCCACTGGAATTTGTTATATGGGTTCAGATCTATCGTATGATTGTCTAACCTGGAAGCTAAGCAGGGACAGGCCTGGGTACAGTCTGAATGGGCGGTCTCTTGGAGTAGCAAAACAGTTGTTCTGAACTAGGCTTCCCAAAAGCACAAAGCCGACTCCTCTCCCTCTCTCCCTCCCTCCTTCTCTCCCTCCTTCTCTCTCTCTCTCCCCTCCATCTCTTTCTCTCCCTCCCGACTCCTCTCCCTCCCTCCTTCCTTCTCTCTCCCTCTCTCCATCCTCTCTCTCCCTCCCTCCTTCCTTATCTCTCTCTCCCTCCTTCTCTTGCTCTCTCCTCTCTCTCCCTCCTTCTCTCTCTCCCCCTCCATCTCCTTCTCTCCCTCCTTCTCTCCCTCCCTCCTTCCTTCTCTCCATCCTTCTCTCCCTCTCCTCTCTCTCTCCCTCCCTCCTTCCCTCTCTCCTTCTCTTGCTCTCTCCTCTCTCCCCCCATCTCTTTCTCTCCCTCCCCCTTCTCTCTCCCTCTCTCCCACTTCTCTCCCTCCCTCCTTCCCCTCCCTTTTTCTCCTTCCTCCATCTCTCTCTATCTCCATCCTTTCTCTCCCTCTCCTCTCTCTCTCCTTCTCTTGCTCTCTCTTCTCCCCCTCCATCTCTTTCTCTCCCTCCCTCCTTCCTTCTCTCTCCCTCTCTCCCACTTCTCTCTCTCCCTCCCGCCTCCATCTCCCTCCCTCCTTTCTCTCCCCCCTCCCTCCAACATGAGTTGTTCGCCGCCCTGAGTCCCTCCTGGAGAAGGGCGGCATACAAATAAACCTAAACTAAACTAAACTAAACATCTCTCTCTCTCTCTTTCTCAGAGGGTTAGTCCTGTCCGAATGGAAGTCTCTTTGGTATCGATTTTTTAAAATACGCCATTTTCATCCAGCCGTCTTGCAATAGCAGAGTTTGGCCAGCAGAGGTCTACAAGTGACACGTGGCTAAATCAAACCCAACCAGTCAAGTCTCTAGTTCTGCTGAAAAAGAAGACCTCAATTGCCCCCCCCCCCCATGGCAGATCATAACAAGAAACAGGGTGCATGTTTAAACACCTTCCACCCTCCCCCGCAAAAAAATCTCCTCCTTATTCTAAGGGTATTCATGACATAAACTAAGCGGGGTGTGTGTGTCTAATATATAAAGCAATTATAAATCAATCACGCTTGATACCCTTTAAAAATCATAATCGATTTATACCCTTAGAATATCTCATGACCTCTAGGCTGGAATACTGCAACGTGCTCTACATGGGGCTGCCCTTGAAGAGCATCCGGCGATTTCAGCTAGTCCAGAATGCGGCCGCGCGAGNTGTGGCTGCCAGGAAGAAGAACGGGTCAATTTATTTTCCAAAGCACCAGAAGGCAAGATAAGAAACGACGGATGGAAACTAATCAAGGAGAGAAGCAACCTAGAACTTCCTGGCAGTGAGGACAATTAACCTGTGGAACCGCTTGCCACCAGAAGTTGCGATTGCTCCATCACTGGAGGTTTTAAAGAAGAGGCTTGGACAGCAACTTGTCTGAAATGGGATAGGATCTCCTGCTTGGGAGGGGGGCTGGACTAGATGTCCCTTCCAACTGTGTTAATCTCTCTGTTTAATCTGACCTTAGCTTGGATGTTAAATCAGTTCCTTGATTGATTAGATACGGCTCCTGCCGTTTAATTAGTCCGAGTACTTTTTTTAAATCACTGGCATGCTTCAAGTTCCAGCTTTTTTACTGATTAAACCTGGCACCCTTAAGACTGGCCCCTTAGAAAGATGTCGCAACACGCCGGCTTTGTGGCACTCAGCAGAAACTACAGTGAGCAAAATGTTCTCCGCCTAAGATTTCCACTTGGCTGTGACGTTGTGCTTCCGATGAACTACTACTATTTTCCCCGAAGGCTCACAATCGGTTTCACAATCATCTGTTTTGTAAGCTGCTGATAGTTTTGAGGATATCCGAGGCCAGCGATGACTAACCTTTTGCAGACCAAGTGGCCAAAGCGTGTGCCCGAGCCAGAGCCCCACAAATGCAATGTGTGTGTGGGGGTTCACCGACAAAAGGGCGAAAGACAAAACCGCGCCCGACTAAACCGCGGTGACAAAACCGCGTGTTCTAAAGCGCTCCGACGAATGAGCGCTGAATCGCGCCGACAACAGCGCGGCAACAGAAGCATGCTGTAAAACTAAACCTAACCCCAAACGTAACGCTAAACCTAACCCTAAACCTAACCCTAAACCTAACCCTAAACCTAACCCTAACCCTAACCCTAAA